GCTAAGGAAGCCTGTTTTGGAATCAGCGTTTAAAGCTGCTACAAATTGTACCTATCTCATGTCAAAAAGCCACTGCGACTTCTGACACTTCCCTTGTAAGTCAAGCTAAAAGCCAGAATATGAATTTCTTATCTTCAAAGGTTGCAGCGCATCCGAAAGTCCATTCTCCAACTTTCTCCGCAAATGCTAACTGTATTTTTATGGCTAGAAGTCAAGAAACAATGTAGGCCAAAAGTTTGAATTTGTCATCTTCCATTTCTTGTGCTAAATTTGCTTTTTTTGAAATGCAGCGTTAGTAGAGAGCTGAAATGGATGTAATTCCAAAGATGTGTTAGAAATGGCTACTCAACCTTGCTATAGCCGGAGCATGGCTTGATAGACTTCCTTTCTCAGATTTCAGCTATCAAAAGTCTACAAGAGTTGTACACATCAATGTCTGAAGTAAGACCAATGGCTGAGCAAATTGGAGATTCGTAGGATTTTGGACAAGATGGAGTTTTAAAGTGTACTATTTATGGATTTAAGCCTCAAAATTCACTCGAACAAACTTTGTGTGAATGTTTGTGAGCTATCTTGTAGAGCTTCGAATAACACCTCGAGATGTTCTACAACAAAAGTTTCAAAAAAATGAGAGTTTCTACAGGAGGAATGAATTATGGAAGAACATCACATTTTGTGTAATGATGGTTAATCCTTGTTTTCTAGTGAGAGTACTGAAATTACAAACCTGATCTTCCTCCTCCGCTTTCCTCTTCATAGGAACCATCTTCTTCTCCATACCCTTCGCCACCCTCACCACCGCAGCCTAAATATTCAGTCACAAATTTTCATTAATTATTAAATCTGTCAATTATTTTTTGAGACGTATTGTCAGAAATTACCGTTGCCACCATAGCCACCATCGCATCCAGCACCACCACATCCACCAGCGCCACCTCCGTAACCTCCGCCACCTCCGGCACCTCCGGCACCGCAATCTGAGAGAGAATTACCAGAGTTAAAGAAAAAGAAAGAAGCAAATCAGTACCACGACAGCCTGAGGAGCCTGAGGATGATCCTCCTCCACATCCTCCTCCGTATGCAGCAGCATAGGGGTTGAAAGTGGGATCGCTACGGTAAATGTTGAATAGATCTGAAATATATGTTTATGGAAACAGCTTAGGCTTGCTCTTTTTCTTAGTGTCAATCATTCTGTTTATGTGTCCCTGGTTTAAAAAGATGGGATTCTATTATAAAAATATTCAATCAGTAAATTATTTAATTGTCCTAAAAGTAAACCTCTTTTACAAGTAAATCAAACTGTTTTTGTTTTTTTAACATACTTTGGACTATTGATAGAAAGAAGAAAGGGTAAAATATGCAGCAAAAAATCAGAATCTTCTAAGTACCTTAAATCAGATTCCCTTGAAAATTTTCTACGGATCTCCAAATTGGTCTTCATAAAGGGCACACATACAACATACAAATGCATTCATAGCAATTGCTAAAAGTTTTCTGCGCATGGAATTCGGGAAAAAGATACGTATATAGAATACGTATATACGTATTTTTACGCTGCAAATCTTAGATATTAATCATGAGATTATTATTCTATATGTGCCCTGGTAATCGGGAAATGACAATTTTATTATAAGAACCCCGGAATGAAATTTCTCCTTTTTTTCTATTTCTGAGCACTGGAAAGATCAAATTCATTTTTTAAAACTACCGTGCGTCTACAATATGATGACCAAGTTGCTCTATAATTGTAATTTTTGGCTCCCAAGTTTACCTGAATTAAGATTGAGATAATCTTTGGTACATTTTGTAGAACTTATTTCGTTCTACCGAAGAATATCCTAGGTCCGCTAAGATAACAAAAAAGCTTGACTTATTTGGAAACGGTTTACTTTCAGACAGCCTGATATTTATTAAGCGAAAACGTCCCACCCTGGCTCATACCGTAATCCTACTCAATTTTGAGGATTTTTCCGTTGCCAATTTCTTAGTTTTTGCTTTTCAGACTATGCCTAGAAATTTGCAGAATCTGACCGCAAGCATTCTATTTTCAAGAGCTTACCCTTGTAAGGCAAGCGATGATGATAAGTGTAGACTGCATTCTGGTATTGTGGTGGATAAGCGTAAGCATAACGAGGTCTCAGTAGATACTGCCTTGGTAACATATGATAGGGATAGTGTTGATAATAGTATCCTTTTCGGAGTAGCTGGTAGCTATTCTAAAAGAAAAGGGCTTCCCTCTCGCCAAAACAAAGAAAAAAACCACATGAGCCCAAAAGACTCGGAGATGAAATTATCAACTCACTGGTTGAATAGCACCAATGATTACTGGACCTCGAAAACGTCCATGCGGCCCTTTACCATGGCGTTCGCCTGTTTAGAAATAATCACGAGAAAAATCTAGCATAATAACAAGATTTCAGTAGAAAAATATATAGTACTTGTAGCATCTTCAGTTTAGAAAAAATGTCCATACTTACTTGGGGTGTCATCATCATCATCGGAGTCTTGTGGCTCTGGCCTAGGAATGTCGTATTTCTTCGTAATCGGTACATACTCCACCTTCTTGAGTTGATGATTTGCTAAAAAGCGGCAACCATAAAATCTTATTTGATGGCAGGTAGCAAAACCATTGTTTTTCGAATTGCATTGATTGGTGTTAATATTACAAGTTCTAAGATTTTTCCGACTGGTAAACGCAGTTTGTTAAATGAAAAGAATAATGCAAAAATCTTAACCAACTTGTATAAATTTCGCTCTTTGTGGCAGGCTTCAAGAATGTTCTTTACTAGTAAATAACTCCAGGGCAATGTGATTACAATCAAAATTGAGCTTCGTGTGAGCTTGAGAAAAATTGAGGCAAGCCCTTTTTCACAACTTCCAGATCAAGCGCGGTTAGATTCATTAAGACACGGAACTTGGAATTTCAGAAGCTTTGTCATTGGCTTTCGACAAGCTCCCCTTATTCTGTATTATTTGGATCAAGAATATAACATCATAGAACAGTTTGATTTATGTCTTCGAAGAAGATTATTCGGAAAATCAAGTTTTGAAAGCTATTGAATTTGAAAATTCATTATACTTGCTCTTTCAAAACTATAGTACTATTGACTTTGCTGCAAATCTTGTAGGGGTGCTACGTAGATACAAAATGCCACAAGATGGCTATGCTAAGTGTTAGGGTCCGAATATGGGAAAAAATCTCGGATTGAGCCTCTTGAGCTTTTTTGCAGCTTTGAGTCATGGATTGGCTTTAGCCTTGAACGGCAATCACTGAGTTCATGTAAAAATTTTAGACTATAGAATTAAATTTGTTTTCGCCTTAATTTCTGTAACAAAAGTTTTCTTTTTGACGAAAGTGTGCAAGTTGGCCCGTAGATTTTTCTCCTAAGGACTTCAGTTCCGAACTGTGTAAATGGTGAAAATTGAGAACTTTACTACCTTCTTCAAATACAGTGTGATCAACTGGATAAAAAA